ATAATTGGTGGGTTAAAAGGGAATGATGCCATCACGTTGGCAATTTGTCTTGTAATGTTCACAGTTTTCCATAGCTTATCATGTCATTACATAGTTCATAACTTTCTACTTTTTTTTAAACGACCAAATCTTGAGAAAATATTTTGCGCCGACTCAGCCGGCCGGTGACTAAGCGGGGGGGGGGGGGGGGGAGGGGTGGGTGGGTAAGAGCACATTTTTTTTTTGTCCAGTTTTTGAGGATAAATTTTGCCCCGACTCAGTAAAAAAAAGAGTATAATTTACATTTCTATCCTATTTTTTTACCGTTTGAGTAGGGGGGGGCGGGCTGGTAGAATCGGCCCGTGGATCCGCCGCCTGGAAACTTGGGATAGAGAACAGAGAGCAAGGCTACATCACAGTGATATTCAAATTTCAACAAAAAATACAACATGCAAACATGACAACAAAATCCCAAGAGGTACAAGATCGAAGGAAAATAGCCACTTCGATTCACACTTTTTTAAATTCCGAAACAGAAAAATTTATGTTTTATACAGTTAAGTATGAAGAGTCTGGATAACAGGGATTTCTAAATAAAAAAAAAAAAAAAATCTTTTGGGGTGTGGGGCTTCTCTGGATAAACAAACGTATTATTAGTCTTATATATCTCGGTTTGTTTGACTCTCGGCTCAGTCTCGTTCTCCCTCTTTCTACTGATCCAACCTCCTTCTTCTAGAGCTTTTGCAATCATTCATTTTCCCTTTTTGTAATATCTTTCTTTTTGCTTTCTACTATTTTTTCCTCTCTTTAATTTTTTCCCCATAAAATCTATAATTTCTTAGCTACATATTTTGTCTACTTATTGATTTTCTAAGCATACTTTGTTCACGTTATATTGTAAAACAGCATCTGAGGAACTAAAACTTCAACAAGCTCTGCTTCCAGATAGTTCCACTTTTCTCGGGCTTTTTCTTTTATATTTTTCGTTTCATTGCATATTTTTGTAATATAATTATTCATTGTATTATGTTTTGCATGCGAAATAAAATCATTTGAATCATTTGAATCATATCATTATATTAATATTATCATTATTGTTATTTTTTAATTATTATTTTTGCCATTAATATTATTATTACCCTAATCATCATCATCATCATCATCATCATCATCATCATATTTGAATCACACAGGCTTCTGTGAGAACGAGCCATGTCAGAACGGAGCTATGTGCATCGATGCCGAAGACTTTTCAGACTTCACGTGCTCCTGTACCGCCGGATTCACGGGCAGATCATGTTTAAGAAGTAAGTGATGCCTGGCAAATATGGCAAGAGATTAACTCTTTAATCATTTAATCATATTACGTGGAGGTTAAGGTGTCGTGGTATAGAAGTTCATTCACTTCACTCTCAATCCAATGATTGAAGGTTCGAATCCCGGTCAGGCACTAACGTCGTTTGGCAAGACATTATATATATATATATATATATATATATATATATATACATACAGTACTGTTTATGATTTGGGATAAAGCATTATCCATGCTTCTGGAGCTTGAAGTGCTACCAGAGGGTGTCAGTATAAGCTTGTTTAAGGTGCCCTATAACCGTTTTGTGCCATAACGCGAATTTAAACCAATGAGATAACCAAATGAACAAACTATGAACGAAATAACATAGCATGTTGAGCATTTGGCATGAAATACAATTCCGCACAATGTAGGCCTTATTTTGGCTTTTAAAAAAGGAAGGGATTTTTGTTTACCCGGTTCGACTTAGATCAGATATCTATTCTTTTTTTTATGCCATTAATTCCTAGTACCCAAGGGAAATATCATCTTCTTTTGCAATTATTTAATTTAAGTATATCATTTTGCTGTTTTATAATTTTCTCAAATGTAATTATAAAAAAAGGTGTAAATTTTATATTGTATAACGGGACCCTGCTTACAAGCAACTTGCTTACTAAAGGAATCCCTCTATTTTTATGTTCATATTATTATGTTACTACAATGTGTTAATATTATGTTATACTTGTACTTTTTTAAAGATGGACGAATACATTGAGTTTAATTGAATTTCATTGAATACAAATTCTTTTCACAATATTTTGGCAGATATTTATGAGTGTGGAGGAATGAGGTCTCAGTTCAATTACCTAAATTGAACCTTCAACAACTTTTCTTTTAATAGCCTATTCTCTTTCTGAAATTCGTCACTGTCTAATTTTCATAGGAATCGTTATCCATTTTGTTTGCCCTTTTTTGGCAGATATTGACGAATGCGAAGGAGTGACGTGTGCTAACGATGGCACATGCCAGGACGGGATTAATGAGTTCACTTGCGTCTGTCCACCCGGATGGGGAGGAGATCTATGTGATACAGGTATGTTTACCCACACGATCCTGTGTCCGGACAGGTTGGTTAAATATCTCGATATATCAATCCAGAAAGTAAATATAATTCTTCTGGATACAAGCCTCATGAAATCTGTATGCTGACTAACCTGTACATGAAAACAATATTCACATCAATTAGTGCCATCTTCTTTGCAAAATCTAACAGCTTTAGTTTAGTTCGGATTCATCCCCCTCCTATCAACGCCTATGTCCGGATAGGTTGGTTATCCGGACGGTAATTGACGTCAGGCAGTTATTCTGAGAAGTTTACATGCAATATTTCATATGAAGGAAAATTACTCATGATGGCTCGAGCTATCTGATCCGTATATAACGATAGATTTAAAAGGAGGAAGTGACAGCATTAGTTTGTTTTGCGTCCGGACAACCCCCTACCCCACCATTACACTAAACGCGCCAATGCATTCTACATGTGAACTCACTGTCAAGTCCAGCCGTTCATGTAAACATGAATACATATGTTGAATCTGTATATTACTGGACGTGCTAACATGATGTCTTATACTTTAGAAGCATAGTAACGATTTCGTAAGAGCTCAAACTACAAATGAGATTGCGTTTTTTAAGATAAACTTGAGTTCTGGTCATGCAAGAAGATTATAAGAGAAACTGTCTTGAAATCATTTGGAAAATGTTGATTATGTAGTTCATATGGATTGGTGTTGGAAGTGGATTTGGGTTCATCAAATTGATAAGAAGATTGACTCAATTTCAATCACATTGGCTACACTTGGAAATCGGTGTTTGTGACTACATACACATTTAGAATGACTGTTTGGTCCAAGCTCATCAGCTGTGTATTGTCATAGAGTATTGAAGAGCATTTAAAATAGCACATTCGAAGAGCGATCTTTTTAGGGCACATTTCTATTGTGATTTATTTCAAAACTGACATGAGGAATCCCACAAATAATTTTTCATCTTTCCCAGAACTCAATCTTTAATTTATCTGACAAATTATTCAGATACAAACATACATTCACATATTACAAAGGCAAACAAAAGAAGTTGCTGAGAAATGAATGAATATGATATACGACTACAATTAACTGCAATTTACTGTTTTACATCTTATTTCAGGTCACATGAAGCAAAATTAAGCATTATTTTTATGCCAAATTGCAAAAATGTTACCTTTACACTGTATATCAAACCGAATTGAAATAAATTCTAGTTATCCAATGTTTTTAAAAAAAATTCGATTCGATAATCCCTAAATCTTATTATGTACACCTAATCTAATTTCACAATACTTTGAAACTGTTTATTGCGGAATGTAATTTGATGACCAGAACTCCAATAACAGTTTGACTGGAATTGAGATAAGAAGATAAACCAAGTAGAAAATGATGTTAGGATCATGGAAATTTGGCCTATACAGTTAGAAGATTTAGGTCGAACAAAGATAATTGTTACTGCAGTAATTGCCAATATTGCCTCTGTATAAGCAGCTTTGAGTATTTGTCACACCTAATATATGTTATTTCCAATGCCACACAGCAACTGATAATCAATTAAATAAAGCGCAGACATTTGAATATAGGTATTTAGTTCCATATTAATACATATATTAAAAACTGTTATTGCCTCTGTCAGCAGCTTTAAACATTTGTCACACCTGATATATGTCATTTTCAATGCCAAACAACAACTGATAACCATGTAAAAATAAGCGCAGAAATCTAGAAAAAAAAGGTGTATATAACATTTAATTATTTCTTCTTAGGAACAACACCGGGAACAACCCCTGGCACAACACCTGGAACAACTCCGGGAACCACACCAGTAACTACACCAGGCACAACACCAGGTTAGTTCAAGTTTTGTTTGGGGTTTACAGCTAGCACATTATGGTACTATTACTACCAAGGATAAGGTTCCCTGTATGTCATGTGGTTATAAACCGTTATTACCTCTGTCAGCAAATTTGAACATTTGTCACACTTGATATATGTCATTTCTAATGCCAAACAGCAACTGATAACCATGTCAAATTAAGCGCAAATATCTTGAATAATAATAATAATAATAATAAACAATATTTATAAGGCGCTTAATACTGGTGTCTCTAAGCGCACCATATTCTGACTTAACAATTATTTACCAAAACTTATAATAAACACACAACTTAAACATCTGTTCTTTATTCAATAAATCATGCATATATAATAATAAAAAATATAATAAGAGTGAGATCAAACAAACATACATACAAGAGGTCAAACATAGGACCAAACATAGGATCGAACAAACAAAAAATAAGACGGTGTGCACCTCCTTTGACCGACTCACAACTGCAGAATATTATTTATGAATTAAAAAGGTGCGTTTTCAGCAAGGACTTGAATTGGTCGAGAGAATGAGTATTATGAAAGTGCGCTGGTAATTTGTCCCAAAGGATAGGGGCATTTACAGAGAAAGATCGGTCGCCATATTTTGTAGCGGTACGAGGTCCGAGGGTTAACTGCAAGGTTGATGATGATCGAAGAGGTCTTAAAGAACTAGAAGAACGTAAGGAAATCAAATCTGAAAGATATTTAGGGGCTTGGCCATGGAGAATTTTGTATGTAAGAAGAAGAACTTTGAATGTGATACGATGGTGTATGGGAAGCCAATGAAGAGAACGCAATATTGGGGTTATGTGCTCAAACTTTCTCGAGAGAGTAACAAGCCTTGCAGCAGTATTCTGAATTCTTTAAAGTGGAAGTAGGGACGATTGCGGAAGACCAGAAAAAATTGAATTACAATAATCAAGGTGGGAGGATACAAATGCATGGGTTAATTTTGCAGTTGTGGGCCGGTCAAGTAGTTTCCTAATTTTCCCAATTTTGAAGATTCCAAAAATAAAGGTGTATAGTTCTTTAGTAATGCATGTAACATATTTGTTTCCCTTAGGAACAACACTTGGAACAACCCCCGGAACAACACCTGGAACAACGCCTGGAACAACACCCGGAACAACCCCTCGAACAACTTTGGGAACCACACCAGGTACTACACCAGGCACAACACCAGGTTAGGTCAAGTGTTGTTTGGGGTTTAAAGCTAGACACATTATAGTACTTTTAAGGATAAGGGTTCTCTGTATGTCATGTGGTTATAATCCGTTATTGCCTCTGTCAGCATCTTGGAACATTTGTCACACGCGATATATATCATTTCCAATGCCAAATAGCAACCGATAACCATGTCAAATTAAGCGCAGAAATCTTGAATAAAGGTGTATAGTTCTTTAGTCATACGTGTAACATTTATTTGTTTCTCTTAGGAACAACACTTGGAACAACCCCCGGAACGACGCCTGGAACAACGCCAGGAACAACACCCGGAACAACCCCTGGAACAACTGCTGTAACAACGCCAGCTACATCATCTGGAACAACACCAGGAACAACTCCGGGAACCACACCAGGTACTACACCAGGCACAACACCAGGTAAGGTCAATTTTGTTTGGGCTTTAAAGCTAGACACACTATGGTACTTCCAAGGATTTGTGTTTTCTGAATTTCATGTGATTATAAACCGTTATTGCCTCCGCCAGTAGCGTTAAACATATGTCACACCTGATAATGTCATTTCCAATGCCAAACAGCAACTGATAACCTTGTCAAGTTAAGCTCAGAAATCTTGAATAAAGGTGTATAGTTCTTTAGTAATACGTGTAACATTTATTTGTTTCCCTTAGGAACATCACTTGGAACAACCTCCGGAACAACACCTAGAACAACGCCTGTAACAACACCCGGAACAACCCCTGGAACAACACCGGGAACCACACCAGGTACTACACCAAGCACAACAACAGGTACTGCACCAGGCACAACAACAGGTTAGTTCAAGTTTTGTTTGGGGTTTAAAGCTAGACACATTATGGTACTATTACTTAAAAGGATAAAGGTTCCATGTATGTCATGTGGTTATAAACCGTTATTGCCTCTGTGAGCAGCTTTGAACAATTGTCACACGTGATATATGTCATTTCCAATGCCAAACAGCAACTGATAACCGTAACAAATTAAGCTCAGATATCTTGAATAAAGGTGTATAGTTCTTTAGTTAAACGTGTAACATTTATTTTTTTTTCCTTAGGAACAACACTTGGAACAACCCCCGGAACAACACCTGGAACAACGCCTGGAACAACACCCGGAACAACCCCTGGAACAACACCCGGAACAACCCCTGGAACAACTTCGGGAACCACTCCAGGTACTAGACCAAGCGCAACACCAGGTTAGGTCAATTTTGTTTGGGCTTTAAAGCTAGACATACTATGGTACTTCCAAGGATTTGTGTTCTCTGAATTTTATGTGATTATAAACCGTTATTGCCTCCGCCAGCAGCGTTAAACATTTGTCACACCAGACATATGTCGTTTCCAATGCCAAACAGCAAATGATAACCATGTCAAATTAAGCGCAGAAATCTTGAATATAGGTGTATAACATTTCATTATTTCCCCTTAGGAACAACACTGGGAACAACCCCTGGCACAACACCTGGAACAACTCCGGGAACCACACCAGGTATTACACCAGGCACAATACCAGGTTAGTTCAAGTTTTGTTTGGGGTTTACAGCTAGCACATTATGGTACTATTACTACCAAGGATAAGGTTCCCTGTATGTCATGTGGTTATAAACCGTTATTATCTCTGTCAGCAAATTTGAACATTTGTCACACTTGATATATGTCATTTCTAATGCCAAACAGCAACTGATAACCATGTCAAATTAAGCGCAAATATCTTGAATAAAGGTGTATAGTTCTTTAGTAATGCATGTAACATATTTGTTTTCCTTAGGAACAACACTTGGAACAACCCCCGGAACAACACCTGGAACAACGCCTGGAACAACACCCGGAACAACCCCTCGAACAACTTCGGGAACCACACCAGGTACTACACCAGGCACAACACCAGGTTAGGTCAAGTGTTGTTTGGGGTTTAAGGCTAGACACATTATAGTACTTTTAAGGATAAGGGTTCTATGTATGTCATGTGGTTATAATCCGTTATTGCCTCTGTCAGCATCTTGGAACATTTGTCACACGTGATATATATCATTTCCAATGCCAAATAGCAACCGATAACCATGTCAAATTAAGCGCAGAAATCTTGAATAAAGGTGTATAGTTCTTTAGTCATACGTGTAACATTTATTTGTTTCTCTTAGGAACAACACTTGGAACAACCCCCGGAACGACGCCTGGAACAACGCCAGGAACAACACCCGGAACAACCCCTGGAACAGCTGCTGTAACAACGCCAGCTACATCATCTGGAACAACACCAGGAACAACTCCGGGAACCACACCAGGTACTACACCAGGCACAACACCAGGTAAGGTCAATTTTGTTTGGGCTTTAAAGCTAGACACACTATGGTACTTCCAAGGATTTGTGTTTTCTGAATTTCATGTGATTATAAACCGTTATTGCCTCCGCCAGTAGCGTTAAACATATGTCACACCTGATAATGTCATTTCCAATGCCAAACAGCAACTGATAACCTTGTCAAGTTAAGCTCAGAAATCTTGAATAAAGGTGTATAGTTCTTTAGTAATACGTGTAACATTTATTTGTTTCTCCTTAGGAACAACACTTGGAACAACACCTGGAACAACGCCTGGAACAACACCCGGAACAACCCCTGGAACAACTTCGGGAACCACTCCAGGTACTAGACCAGGCGCAACACCAGGTTAGGTCAATTTTGTTTGGGCTTTAAAGCTAGACATACTATGGTACTTCCAAGGATTTGTGTTCTCTGAATTTTATGTGATTATAAACCGTTATTGCCTCCGCCAGCAGCGTTAAACATTTGTCACACCAGACATATGTCATTTCCAATGCCAAACAGCAAATGATAACCATGTCAAATTAAGCGCAGAAATCTTGAATATAGGTGTATAACATTTTATTATTTCCCCTTAGGAACAACACTGGGAACAACCCCTGGCACAACACCTGGAACAACTCCGGGAACCACACCAGGTATTACACCAGGCACAATACCAGGTTAGGTCAAGTTTTGTTTGGGGTTTAAAGCTAGACACATTATGGTACTACCAAGGATAAAGGTTCCGTGTATGCCATGTGGTTATAAACCGTTATTGCCTGTCAGCAACTTTGACTTGTATCAACCAAAATGGAACCTATGTATGCACCTGTGCAGCAGCATACCAAGGAAACAATTGCGAAAATGGTATTTATATGATGCCGTATTTGTCACCATATTTTTTTCTTTGTCTTCTATAGCGATGACACATGAAAGTAATTTTTCAATAAAATAAATCCTTTACCAGAGGAACATTTGTGAAAATGGTACGTATGTTATTCTATGATGCCATATTTGTCACCATATTTTTTTGTCTTTGTCTTCTAAAGCGATAACCCTGAAAGTAATTTCGCAATGAAATAAATCTTTTTCACTGTTGATTCTTCTTTTCATAGATGTAAACGAATGCCCCTCAGATAACCCTTGCTTGAATGGAGCGAATTGTATCAACCATAATGGAACCTATGAATGCAATTGTGCAGCAGGATATCAGGGCATCAATTGTGGAAATGGTATGTATTACATGATGATGTTTGTGTACTCTGATCATTAAGCATTGATCATTTTTTAAGATAAAATATAAAAGGAAATTTCTTGATTAAATAACTCATATCACCGTAGGCGCTTTTTTTATGGATGTAGGCACCTTAGATTACTCTGCATCGTTGTTATCTGTTTATTTATTAAAACCATTCAACAAGTTGGATTTCAAATACAAATAAAAATGCGAATGGGTGTGAATTAGTCATCAAGCGGACAAACTTTTTTACAAAGTTAAAGCCATTTAAGCTACAAAGTAATGACATCGCTACTATCGGCTAACAAGTGAAGTCTTTATCACAATTCAGATTTATTCTCAATTACCCACATTAATTTTTAGGCTAATTTTCACTGAAACTGTTCGAAAATATAAAAACAGAAGAGGTTATTAGCACAAATGATGTAAACATCTGATTGATATGAAAGTATGTGTTACCGATAACAAATAAGAATGAATAAAGTTAAGAAAACTCGAGGTTACTTACGCGGCGAGTGATTTGAAATTTTAGGATACCATAATTCATATCCAATCTAAAGAAGGCCCTGTTTCTATTTATGTTAAGAAATATTAATGGAAAATTGTATCTATCAAGGTTTAAACATTCATATTTTAAAGCAAAAATTTAAAAGGATTTGTTTCAAGCCTATGCTTGAAATAAGAAGGAAAAAAACGTAGTGAAAAATGTATAATCATGATAAATTGTCATTCTCATTTGTCTGAAATCAGTAACACAGACTGTCCCATCTTCAGTGTCGTTTCTACGGAAGGCAAATGTGCTGACAAATTATGTTAACCTCATTTACTTGTTAAGGCATTAAAACATATGCGCATGTATATTTCTTTTTACCGTAACATCGATAAGAATTGTTCATTGTAATGAGAGCTTAGGGATTTAGAATTAGATTGTCCATAAATTTACCATATAGAAACTGCGATAGTTTACTTGTGATGGCGTTATAAAAAGATATGACAGATTTAATGTTGCGACCAGAGACTTGTCACAGAAGTTGTCGCTGGTCTTGGCAAAGAGAACTTTGTGAAACACCTAGCGGACAAGTAACAGCATTGAGATGTTGTTGATCTTGCACTCTTGATGGTTTCGTAAATGCACTACCTGAAATGAGGAGGGGGTGACAAGAAGAAGAGGGAGAAGGAAAAGGAGGAGATCGGACAAAACGAAGATGAAGAAGAAGAAGAAAAACAAAAACAAGAAGATCGAAGCATGCTGCTGTTGACCCCCCCCCCCCCCCTGTAAATTGTTTTCATTGTATCAGGGGTTGGGGAGGGGGCTTTTGTTGCAATGTGCCAATTTAGTACATGATTCGCAAATGATTGTCATAGGGATTTATCCTTGTTGAATGGGGTAGGTGGGGAGTGAGCAAATGGCTCACCTGCTTTCTAATTGCAAAGAGAAAAAAGGGGAAAAGGGGAAGGGGGAAAGAAGAGAAAAAACGAGAGGACCCTTTCCCTCACCTTCGAAATTCATTTGATCATGACATGATGGGTATTTAAACTTAATAACTAGTCTTTTATTAAAATGTTTTGGTCTTGTGCAATATACTTCTAATTTTTCGTTTGGTTTTCTTTCTAGCTTTAGATGCCCAAACCATCGCTGTTATAGTAAAGATGCATGGAAAATACGGTCCTGAGTTCATTCAAGAAGGCACCCCAGAAAATATGGAAATGAAAACAAACATTACAACAGCTGTAAGTCACATCTCACATCGGCATAATTAGTATACAATTATATATATCATTCGCAAGGAATTTTAAGGGGCTTATTTTAACATTGTAGGCTTTACGAAGCTGCCAAGTATAAGATGTAAGGATTACATTTTTATCAGACTGTCAATTTAGCACACCTCTGTAGAAGTGACAATTTGCAGATGTCTGAACAAAGAATACCAGGCCACTATTTAAGAATTAAACTCAAAACCAGGGCGCTGTTCCATAAAGCTTGGTATCACTATCAAATATCAACAACAAGTTACAGTAACTGTTATAAACTACTGAAAGAAGTGCATCCGATTGACTCTGAGCAAATTTTCACTTAACTTTGACACCTGGTACTGGTATTCAATTTTATGAAACAGTGCCTAGGTCATCTGTATCTGGGATACGTTTTCACAAAACCATCATAATACCTGCAATTTGAATATGTAATCATACAATCATGTACAAATATGGTTTGGCGATTGCACCCCCTAAAAAAAAACATTCACAATTTCCCTTTGTCTCATATTTTGAATGCTTGCCAAGCCTAAGTTTTACCTGGATGGCCACAATGTGTGTGAATGTAATGCTGATTGATGCTTCAATTCTTTTTTGTTTTGTTTAGATGAATTCCGTTTTAGCAGGAGAAGTGACATCCCATGGATTTGTTGGAGCAAATGTGAATACGTTAAGGTATCATTCTTACTTAAATTGACATTTTCTATTCATTTATCGGTTATGGTATAGAAAACGACATGATTGCATGCATACTTTTGGTTCCAAAACATTCTCCAACCTAAACAGAAATAAATGTCTGGTGTAGGAATTCTTTTATAAAACTGACATTTGTCAACATTCTGTATAGAGATGGTCAAGGGAGCCAGGCGTAGTCTCAGCAGAACAACCATCGATATCAGGGACTCAATTTTTTGGTTTAACTACTGCTGACTGATATTTTGATGACCCCACAATTTCAGTGTACACAGTATACCTAAGCATCTTCCATGTAATGGCAACCGAAGTTGGAATAGTGCGCAATATTTCATATTCCATGTCATTATGCTCTGTAACTAGTCTGTCTCATGAATGTTATGGATGTAACATTTTCTGGAACCAAACCCAAATGGATGCAATTATTTTTTTAAGCGAAAAATTCTTCTCTTGGCCATATTTTCCTTTCTGGATTGGTATGTGAAGCAACTGGAAATGACCACCGTCATGCAATAAACAAAATATAACTGAATCAATCTTTATCAGAGAATGATAATGGCATGTCTTTTCAACCAAACTCATCCAAATTATGTGGATGAGTCTTTATATTTTAATAGTTAGAAAGAACAGATACCTGTACCTTGAGATTGGTTTGTAATTACAGGAGATAGATACAATGTGTAGCTCTAGATGACGCAGACACCTATAAATCAAATTATCTAATACACTTATAATATGCTTCGTAAATACAAAAGTGTCATATATCATGAAAAGGAACAATATATCATGAAACTATTGGTGTTCTCTTTATATTCATTTTATGTTGTTGCGTTTTATGCAATGTGTCTATATTATATTACAATAAAAAAAGAGGAAAGTTTATTTTATGGTACGTTAAAGTATAAAGGAGTTAGTGAAATACATGTAGCAAACATCTGTTTCTTTATTCACTTCACAGCGTAGGCAGTCTGATTGCGTTTGTTGATCTTCTGTTTGACCCAACTGTCGTTGTATCACCTGGTTCCATTGTGGCTCTACTTCGCTCTGGTATCGACACGAACGATGTATTCATAGCTATGGCTGTATTCAGTGTTTCGTTAGGTATGTTAATTGATTTTGCCATTGACAATAATTTCATGAAGATATACATAACACAGTCGTAAAGACTCCCAACCAACCAATCGATTCAAGGACAATATCAACACCATATTGGATATTAACATCATGTTCGGATGTCGGATGACATTATATGTCAATTTAATTTTAATTTAATAATATTCCGTGTTTATAAGCGCTCAATACATCGATCCAACGATGTGCCTAAGCGCTTTACAGATATATTATTACCATGTTGGTACATTTGAATAGATATGCCTGGACATGGCTATTGACATTGCTAAAGGTTGATTTTTCGGACGTCTTTGCGATTTTGTTCTATACCTGTTTTTGAAACACTCATTTTGAAATTGAAATTACATCATAGCTATCTGACTTTAATCTCACTACCAAAACCAAAAATTGCAATTCTC